GTGGTTAGTTAGGACACAACGCCTGTCTCTACGTAGATGTCTTTTTTTAGAAAAGAAAATAGGAGGATATGTGGAGCTTTCGCGTGCTGTGAGAGTGATATATGCGTAGTTCAGGACCCAATTGGTAGTCTGGTAGGCACACACGGGGCCATAAATTCTGCGTGAACCCCCACACCCCCTCTTTAATGTTAAAAAATAATTTAAAAAAATAAAAAATATATTATTTTAATACACTTCAAAAAGAATACCAAAATATAAAATACTCCAATTAAACACCCATTTAAACTTGTGGGTCTCTGCCCTGACTCGCCCTTAGCACTTAATTGCTACTGTGTCTTCCACGTGGAACGTGTTGAGATCTAGAAAGTCGATGGACACATCAAGATATTCTTGGTCAGCAAGTATTTTTCTTCTGGGTACGTACCATTAGTTTTTTTCTTGGCTATCAAGTTAATATGTCGTCATTGTTATCATCTGAAAATGAAGGAATTGGGAAATGAGTATGCGGAGGTAACCTTCTTGTTAGTTGATATTTTACCACAAAAATAAAAATAAATAAAAATATAAATAAAGGATTTTTAAACAATGAAAGTTGCAGAGTACTGTTAGTTAATTTTAAGAGCAGATCGTTGCCAATTTTACCATTCAATTAATATCAACACCATTATATGTATATATAAAGTGCAACGAATGCACGGAGTAAGAGTGCTCTTAAGGGATGGTATTTGGACATCTTAATTACTAAACAATTAATAGTTCTAGAGAAATATATATTCAATGATAAAAAGATTATGCTGTGCCAATTGTCTAATGCATTGACCAAAAAATATGGTTTTATGTCACTCGTTTTCGTTGCTGGAGAATATAACAAAATTAATGACAATATTAACGTTTTAAATATAATTGGTTATGTTAATTTAATTATCTACGTGATTTCCTACTATTAACTATTATACTTAAAAAATTTTGGGTTTTTTCCACCCCCTTGGGGTTCATATGAACGCCACCTTCTTCTTTTTTAAAATTTTTTGGGATTTTTTCTTTCAACTCACTCATTCAATATTTTATTAGTTTTGAAATAATTATTATAATTGATTTTCTTTGAAATTATTATAATTTTAAATAAACATTATTATATTTAGTTAGTGTTTAATTTTATAAATATTTATTTTTGTTATTATATCATTAAATAAAAAATAGTTTTTATAAAAAAATATTTTTAAATTGAATAAAGTTCATGATCTAATTATAGGTTCGATAAGTTAAATCATGAAGTCCATATTAATCTAGTACTTCATCGTGTCAACATTAAAAAAAAAAATATGTTATCTTGATTTTTTTAAAAATCAAACAAGTTTTTACTAATTATTTAAATTATTTTTAAATCCGTTAAGTTAACTAGATCAAGTTAAAATAACTTGTACATATATGTTATCTTGTTTTTAAATTTAGTTATTAAAAAATCCATCAAATCAACTTGATCAAGTTAAAATAACTTGTATATATGTTAATTTAAACTCACACTAGATAAAAAATAAAAACAATATTTGAATTGAATTTAGTAATAATATAAAATAATTTCTTAATAACTAAATTTTTTTACATTAGAAATCTTTTTGATGACATTACATAACGCGAGCTAGGAAATTAATGTCCTCTAAGATAAAGTCACATCTCCTCTCTTTATGCTCACAGAATAATTGGTTTGTATCCAAAAAAACCTCTGTGTGAAAAAATTATCTCGATTTCCCATGGCTTCTCTCTGCCAATAAAAAATATGATGATTATTTTTAGTTTGATTTAATTTAAAATTTTAATTAGTTTAATAGGTTTTTTTCATGGTTTCTTTTTTTATTATTTATTTCTTGTTTTTTCAGTTTAATTAGTTTTTTAATTTTTTTACTCACCCTAGCAAAAAGAAAAAAAACTTATTGATTTTCTTTACCTTTTCCTTCTAACCCTAATTCCCAATAACAAATAAGAGGAATAAATAATGGAACTATAGGAAATAAAACTATTATCAACTAAGCAAAAAGAAATTTCGTAACATCGGACACAATAGGGCTATATATTTTTCATTAATATTCTCATTCATTTTAAATTATCATTTTTTTCCTTAAAAAAAAAAATATCCAAGAAATTATTACATAAACTCCATTCGGTCTCCTTAGATCATGTAACTCAGCAACCTTTAGATAAAAAGTGAAGTCAGAGGCAACTTATGCGAGGCTCTTTGTATATAATGTCATAACCAAATACGAGAAAAATCGATATAAGATCATGCTAGCCCTAACTTTATCTTCTCTAATTTACCCAAAAACACTCTGAATATTTCCTGTGATTCGGCGCATAACTCCTCTTCGTACGTAAAAGGGAGATAGTAGATGCATACCTCTTTATAGTAGTAATTAGTAAATTTGAACAGAGTTAGTCGCAACCTGTTTAACAAAAAAAAAATCCTTTAGATCCAATGAATTGGCTAACTAATTTAATGACTTTTGAATTCAGTCAACCCCTAGAACGATTGATCGGTGGGACGATTCATTCAACACTTATAGTTGAACAGATTAAGATGTTTGTGCCAGGAGCTTCAAAATTCTTTCTGCTAGTTGCATGTTGGCTGGTTTCACATGCTTTTTCCTTGTAATGCAAAAGGAAAAGAATCAGCAGTATAAAGATTATAAAACTAATAAAGACCCAGAAATGTTCCAGGACAAAAGCTTCCTGCACAAGCTCTCTCTGTTGATTTATGACGTCCTGACTTCACAAGGGGTGACAAGTTTGATTTCTCGCTCATTGATGAACCATACCTATCAACACTTATTGTCCTACTTGCAAGCCCTTTTTCAGTACTCTCAAGATGATAACTCTTTTCTTGCTTCTTTATATCTGGTGAGGAATCGCTTCTTGCACAAGCTCTCTCTCAGTTGATTTATTGGAAGAGTATGATACGTTTGATGGGAAGATGGAACTCTTCTTCGTATTTTCTAGTTTGTCTAAATTCTCTAGATTCTGTTCTGTTTCAGCTGCTACTTACCACTGTTTCTCCTTTACAAGTTAGTTATGACCATTCCACAAAAGATGCTGCTGCCTAAGGACTGAGCCATAGATGCAGCATTGGCCCATTCTTCACAGAAAAAAACCCGAAGATATTTGAAAATATGATGGTAATTATTTTTTAAAGTTTTGTTTTTTAAAAATATATTAAAATAATAATTTTTTAATTTTAAAATATTATATAGCACATAAAAAAATCCAAAAATATATAATTTTAAATAAAAATTTAATTTTTTTAAAAATATGGTTGAAATAATGTTTCAAAAAAACTTTTATAGCATGTTTGTTTTTATATTTTTAAAATTTTTAAGTTCAAATTAATATTTTTTTATATATTCATGGTTTTAATATATTAATATCAAAAATAAAATTTAAAAAATAAAAAATAACTTCTGCTAATGAAATACCGCGTCATAACATCCATAGATATCCAAGTAAAATGGGAATAAACAGAGCAGGTGGTGGGATTTGTATCACCTTTTCAAGGAACTCACCTGTGTGATTGGCTTTCCGCTTCGCGACGCATAAAATGGACCGTCATGCTCCGCGTTTGGGATTTTTTTTTTTTTTTTTGTACTTGACCGTTTCTGCCAAAACGACATGGAAATTACACGAGTTCATAGGTGGCAAATCTTTTAGTCATTTTGGAGATTTTATCAATGTCACAAAGGTATATAAAAACTACTTCCAATCTTTTTTAATTTTAAATCTTTTACCGCACATCAGAACATCCTCGAACGCCTCCTCGTGTATCAATTAAAATCATTTTTTTTTTTAATGACAATTTTCAAGACATGTTCTTACATCAGTTAAAGGAATGGACTCCTCTAGATTTTGATCTCAAAGTTCAAATTGAGAAAATAAATCTTTTTAACCATCTAACTTTTAACTCTTCCAGTTATCACTTCACTGAGCACACAACACGACGTCGTTGTCGACCTGCCCTTGGCAGCGCGCATTTTCCCGTTTCTCTGAAATTTTCCCTTGGTATTCTCTTCTCTATGCACCTGCCGTTTCCTTGCCGGAATGTGGACACAAACATTTCTACGCACTCATACGCTTTCCCAAAGCGCGTGATTGCAATCTCAAGGTAACGACTATTTCCATTTCCCGATCAGTAGTTATTCGCGGGTTTCTGCGAGTGAGATCGAGAGAAAAGTAATAGAAGGATATATCAGGTATTCTAAATTTATATTGAGGACATTTCGGAACGAAAAGTTATCGTATGGTAATTAACGTAAATATCTCAAACACTACACTCTCTCTTAGCTGCTCCAACCTCCATTGCTACTCAGCTTCTCATCTCTCTCGCGGCTAAGGTCAGATTATTGTGCATCCTTATAGTCTCTCTGTTTGCTATTGTGTTTTAATCAAGATTGCGATATTAATTGCTGATTGGTGTCTAATTAAGTCTCATGTTACTAATTTGGTTCATTTGTCGAAGTTTTGTGATCGGTTTGTCGGTCTTAATCTAGAATTTTAAGTTTTGTTCTGCTTGAAATTTGATAGTTAGTGTCCTTTTTCATCTTGTATGAAATTGTTTACACAGATCTAAAAGGATTTCGTTTGTGTTGGATTCTGTAAGATTTGTTCTTGCTTGGATGATAAGATTTTTTTAAAAAATGATTGCTGTATTTGTAAATTTTTTAAGAAAAAATCGTGTTTTCGGTAGTTACACGATTTTGTTTCCCTGGGATGATTAGACCTTTTATTTTCATCTTGATTGTTTTTGCCATAGTTTTGGAACCGAACCGGCCATCAGGTCAACCTGGGACTGAAACTGGTCCGGGTCTAAATAAAAATCTGCAGGGTAGGTGGCCGAATGAAACCCGGTGAACCGGGCAAACCCGGCCTCTTTTTTTATATATACACACGTAGCCGTAAAACGACGTCGTTTTGGCCTTAGAGCTCCAATACACCTCCACCCCAAACACAGCGTTCCCTGTGTCCATGGGCTCTCTTGCTGACTGGTATCATAGATGGACCCATCAGTTTCTACAGGTGGAAATCCGGATTCCAACGAAAATAATCCTCAAGAATCTGAATCTGAATCCAATAACAGCCGCAGTGATGCATTAGGCAAGGCTTTATCAACGATGCTGGCCAGCGTTATTAAAGACATCGACTCTGAAGCTCAAGACACTCTCAATAGCCAAGAAAAAACTTAATTCTGCTATTGATCGTCTTACTAGAGGTAAATTCTTCTTCCTTTTTAATCTCATTATGGTCTTGTAATTCTATGCTTTTAGAAAAGGTGCTTGAGATAAGATAAGTAGCTTCTTCACCTTTACTTTTTTCTACTTGTAATGTTTGCAAGTCACCTGGTTTTGCTATAAAATTTTATTTTTAGGCCTTCTTAGGTTGCTAAAATATGACCCTTTTGATGGGTTTTTGTTTCCAAAGAGATTTCTTTTCTTTTGGGGAAATGCTTTCGATCATTTTAGAAATGGACGCAGTATCATAAATGGTTAGTTTAATCTGTCTCTGTAACATGATTAGTAAAGATTTTGCTACACATCAGCTGTTTTTTTATGCTTACTGAATACACAACTGTGATTTGATGCTAGCAACAAGTGGGATAGTTATTAGAGTTTCTCATTTTCTTCATTAATGATAATTTGATGGATTTAACATGAGTTTTTTCATGCCCACATACCTATTTATCTTTCGGAGTATGTAATATTTAATAAACATATATACAGCTACAACATCTATAATTATATTGAAAGAATGGAGCAGCTCGTTGAGCTCCAGTATCAAGCAATTCAAATAAAGATGGACAAAGCTTCCCATAGTGGATGCAATCTGAATTGGTCTTTATTCTTTTTCTACATTGATCCTTAAGGTGTTATTATTCCATGTTATTGAGCATTTGAGTCTGGATCATCGATAAAAAAAATTGTGTTTTCAGAGCTTGATCAGTTGTTGGAAGATGCACTCATGCCGTTCATCATGCAGCATGCAGCAAAGATTTCAGGTGTTCGAAAGAGAGTTTCATCATTGAATTCTGTTCTAAAATCAATACAGAAGCGTGTTGACAATATAGACCGACTGCTATCTGTGGGCATGTTTCAGGGTACCTATATCTCTTCTTATGTTGCATAATCTATTTTTATATCATTCCCTTAAGTTTCTTCAGCTAAAAATTCTATTGTTATACGTTAGTGCTTATATCAAAATACTTTGCATATTTGGTTTTTTTTTTTGGGTTGACCCGAATCAACCCGGGTCAACCCATCTGACCCATGACCCGATCATTGGACCGGGTCGACACTGGGTCGGGTTTCAAAACTATGGTTTTTGCTCTCACTGGGTGGTGATTCATATAATAAACTTGTACTTTAATTTTCTAGATTAGAAAATTGATTTTTGAGAATCTAGAACTGTTTTATGTAGATGATTGTTAAGGGTAATATGTGTTAGACCTTCATGTTATTTTTTTGTATACTTTATGTTATCCATAAGCTCTCCTCGTAATGCATCTGTTTCATTAGACTTGATATTTTGTTGATGTAATATTGGCCATAATTTAAAGCTATTGCTATGTGCTTCGTCTTTTGTATGACCGGCCACTTGCACTGAATTTTGACTGAGTTCTTGTTTATTATTAGTATGTCACAGATGGTTTTAACAATTCATTTCCCTGTATAGCAGTTCAAGAGTATCAGTTCATCATGGGTAAAGAGAAGAGTCACATTAACATTGTGGTCATTGGCCATGATGACCCTGGCAAGTCAACCACCACTGGACACTTGATCTACAAGCTTGGAGGTATTGACAAGCGTGTCATTGAGAGGTTCGAGAAGGAAGCTGCTGAGATGAACAAGAGGTCATTCAAGTATGCTTGGGTGCTTGACAAGCTCAAGGCTGAGCGTGAACGTGGTATTACGATTGATATTGCTTTGTGGAAGTTCGAGACGACCAAGTACTACTGCACTGTCATTGATGCTCCTGGACATCGTGACTTTATAAAGAACATGATTACTGGAACCTCCCAGGCTGACTGTGCAGTCCTCATCATTGACTCTACCACTGGTGGTTTTGAGGCTGGTATCTCGAAGGATGTTCAGACCCGTGAGCATGCTTTTCTTGAGGCTGGTATCTCTCATTGACTCTACCACTGGTGGTTTTGAGGCTGGTATCTCGAAGGATGGTCAGACCCGTGAGCATGCTTTTCTTGCCTTCACTGAGGTGTCAGGCAAATGATCTGCTGCTGTAACAAGGTTTATTTGATCTCTCTTGTCAAATAAAGTTGATTATTTATTTTGCATTGTAGTATCTTGTCACATGTATTCAAGAAGATATTCTCTTGCTTGCTGTTGATGTGTTTTTATTGCTTTCATTGAATAGATGGATGCCACCACTCCAAAATACTCCAAGGCAAGGTATGATGAAATTGTCAAAGAAGTGTCATCCTACTTGCAGAAGGTTGGTTACAAACCTGACAAGATTCCCTTCGTGCCTATCTCTGGATTTGAGGATGATAAAATGATTGAGAGGTCCACCAACCTGGACTGGTACAAGGGACCAACTCTCCTCGAGGCCCTCGACCAGATCCAGGAGCCCAAGAGGCCCTCAGACAAGCCCCGCTGTCTCCCCCTCCAGGACGTGTACAAGATCGGTGGTATCGGAACGGTCCCGGTGGGCCGTGTGGAAACTGGTGTCATCAAGCCTGGTATGGTTGTAACTTTCGGGCCAACTGGACTGACTACTGAAGTTAAGTCTGTTGAGATGCACCACGAAGCTCTCCAAGAGGCTCTTCCTGGTGACAATGTTGGATTCAACGTTAATAATGTTGTTGTGAAGGATCTGAAGTGTGGTTTTGTCGCCTCAAACTCGAAGGACGATCCTGCCAAGGAGGCTGCGAACTTCACCGCACAGTTGATCATCATGAACCATCCTGGGCAGATCAGAAATGGTTACGTCCCTGTTCTTGACTGCCACACCTGTCACATTGCCATCAAATTTGCTGAGATCCTCACCAAGATTGACAGGCGATCAGGGAAGGAGTTGGAGAAGGAACCCAAATTCCTGAAGAACGGTGATGCTGGTATGATTAAGATGATTCCCACAAAGCCCATGGTGGTGGAGACTTTCCTGGAGTATCCCCCACTTGGTCGTTTTGCCGTGAGGGATATGTGCCAGACTGTTGCTGTGGGAGTGATCAAGAGCGTGGAGAAAAAGGATGCTTCTAGTGCGAAGGTGACAAAATCTGCTGCCAAAAAGGGTGGAAAGTGAACCGAAAGCTATGATAAAAATAAAGACTGGGTTCAACTTAGCCATCTATCTTTCAGTTTTTTTCTGTGTCATGAGATTTTTGGCATGTCTTCACCATCATCCCGGGGCTGTTCACAGAATTGGGTTCTTGAACAACGGTGGCATCAGTTACGTTTGGAGTCATTTTCTGGGTCTTTATTGTGTCTTCAACGTTGACATTTTGTTGGACTGGTGTTTTAGTAGCCAGTAGCTCTTGAATTTTATGTCTGTGAACACCATGGCTGCATGTTCTATATTTTCTATGATTTCCACTTTTCTTTGTTCATTTTACAAGGCTTTCTCTGATATTTTTTAAAATGCGCCTGCTAATCCTACTTGCTGGACAAATATTGATGTTAATATAGTTTATAGGCTCGGTGTATCGACAGTCAAAAAGCCCCGCAAGCTAGAGAAGAAGAAGTCTTGATCTATCATCAAGGTCTGGCAAATATTGTGTAATCAATTCTGGGCGACCATAGGGCCTCCCGGAAAAAGAAATTTATGGCTGGGCGTGATATTGTTTTTTTTACTTGGATGTTTGTTTCGGAATTTAGTGAGCTCAGGCCATATAGAAAATTGAGAATGCCTGTTCTATTTCGTTATCTTTGAGCCTATTGAGCTGTATTTTCTTTCATTATTTTTCTTGAAAAATCCCTACAGGCTTTTAGCTTAGGCTAATCAAACTTTTCTTTAATGATTTGGTGCAGCTAATCGATATTAGCATAAACACTCTGCGAGATTTCAAGTTTAAATTTATACTTTGTAAAAGTAAATAAATAAACAATATAGTTTTTATGAATATTTTTACAAGATTATTACAATTGGTTGTTTGTCTTTTATGTATAGTCTAGGTGTTTGTATTAGAGGTTAGATTTAATATATTTTTAAATAAACCGGCCATATAGAAAATGAACGGTTCAATTTTTTTCTTATATATTTTGAATGCCTGTTCTATTTCGTTATCTTTGAGCCTATTGAGCTGTATTTTCTTTCATTATTTTTCTTGAAAAATCCCTACAGGCTTTTAGCTTAGGCTAATCAAACTTTTCTTTAATGATTTGGTGCAGCTAATCGATATTAGCATAAACACTCTGCGAGATTTCAAGTTTAAATTTATACTTTGTAAAAGTAAATAAATAAACAATATAGTTTTTATGAATATTTTTACAAGATTATTACAATTGGTTGTTTGTCTTTTATGTATAGTCTAGGTGTTTGTATTAGAGGTTAGATTTAATATATTTTTAAATAAAAAATATTTTAAAAAACAATTTTTATCAAACACCATTCTTAAGAGTTTAATGAGCCTATTTTACATGAATTTAAATACAAACCTAAATACATCTTGATATCTCAGACTTAGCACCATGTTCTCGTCAATAATTTTTGCCCCTTTTAACTTTTAATCAAGCTAATTATGGGGTTATTTAAAAGATCTAAAATATTTTTTTATTTGAGAATATATTAAAATAATATTTTTATATTTTTTAAAAAATATTTTTAATATATTACATCAAAATAATTTAAAATTATATGTATAAAAAAAACACTATTTAAAATTCAAATCCAAACAACTCCTACCATATAATAACCCGGATTGGTTTTTGCATGTCAAAGATAAATTTCGTTGAAGTTCAAATAGTTAACTCACGTCTATATTGCATTTAACGGAAAGGCTCTTGTGGGCCTTATTCTATTGGGACGTGACATGGCCATGTGCAGCTGAAAGTTGACCTAAAGTTCTTGATTACAAAGTACGAGGACATGACAGTTCTGATTTCCGATTCAGGTAAATCTATAAAAAAACACACTGAAATATACTCGTGGAGACCTTATAAATTTTTTTACAATAAGATCCCCTTCTTCCCAATAAATGATTTATTAATCATAGTTATAAATAAACCATTTCTATGCAACAAGATAGTCATCGAACTTTTACTAATTTCTCGTAACCCGAATGGTTTGTTGATTATAATTTATGAACCGAGTGATCCTAGGAAATACATGAAGTAAATGTGAATATTTTAAGTAATTTTATATTTATCTTCATCGTGTAATAGATTAACTGGCAAGAAATTTTAGAGTGTTCCTGTGTTAACATAAATTTTAAGGTCTAGGTTTTTTTTTTTCTAGTATTATCTTTTAACCTTAAGTGTTTCATGATATGAAATATAAATTTAATGTGATAACTAAGTTTTTTTTCTTGTTTTTTAAAGTTTTTATTTTTATAAATTTTATCATTCAATATTTAATTAATTTAAAATTAAATTTTATAATTTATTTATTTATTTTTATAAGATTATCATAATCTCACTATATAAATTACGAGCATGATAAGTTTACTCGAGTTTTTTGTTTTTTTTTTAATTTCATCCCACAACATAAAAAATTAGATTTTATAATTTATTTTGATTTATTTTTTATAAAATTATTTCAATCATATGACGAGGGTTATAGGTTTGGAACACTAACTCATGTTAACTTGAGTTGTTTTTTAATTAGGTTTTTATTTTTAGTTTCATTCTTTAATATTGGATTAATTAAAAATTAAATTTTATAATTTATTTTAATTTATTTTTTAGAGTATATTTAAGTTATGAGTTTAATAAATTAATATAAATTGATATAGATCGATTTAACATGTTTTCTTTTTAATATTAAAAAAATATTATATTAATATTTTTCTAATCAGATTATTTAATTAGTAATTATTTAAGTTATTTTTAAATACGTTATGCTGATTAGATTATTATATCATATCAATTATTATATAATTAAAATTTTATTTACTAACTATATCATAGGCCAATGATCTAATTTATATTTAAAAGAACTATTTTGACCTACATGCAAAGCAAAACAATAATCGAGTTTACTATCTACTTATCTTTCTTTTCAAGGTGAATACAGGCTAATTACTCCTAGTTTTTTTTTTTATAGAAAACGATACCTGAGAAGAGGCCGTTGATAGTCAATTGCGTGACAAACAAGTGAAAGGACATTTAAGGAAAGAAAAATGCCTCCAGCGCGCTATAAATAACTACAAACCCTATCACTCGTTCCTCGCTCTCATCCCTGCTTCTCCTTTTTCTATACTCTTGCCGCTAGGGTTTTTGCATCTTTCTTCAGGTTCGCCACCCCCCCCTCCTTTTTCTTGTTCCAGTCATGCCTTTTGTCTGATTCGATTCTCTCTGACGCATCATCACTACCGGTTCAGTTGATTTGTGTTGATATTTAGTTCTTGATTGCTTTTTTTAGCATTTTTAACTTTAATATGTGGTTTTGATCTGTATTATCACCTATCAATCTGTTTTATCTTGATTGCTAGTGCCTTTTATTTGCCTTGAAGATTTATATACGAAGATCTATTAGATTACAATTCATTTATGTGGTTTTAGCATTTTGTCACTGTTTGTTGGGTAGATCTAATTAGATGTGCATTTGTAGGATTGTGAAATGCTCATCCTTTCTTATGTCAGATTTTTACCTGTTGTATGATTTTCATTGTTGATTTTTTGTACTAAAAGAAGTTTTAAATCAATCTTTTATTTCTGAAGATGTTGATTAGATATTTTGTGATAATAATTTATTTCTGAAGATGTTGATTTGATTTTTCAATATGAATATTGCTATTAACTGTCACTTAGATCAACTGATGTGAAGGTCATCAGAAGCTACTTAATTTATTCTTATCCAAAATTATCCTTTTTTGCTGTCTAATTTATCAAATATAATTAACTAGCGTTTTCAATTTGTGCTGTTGATATTTTTTAAAATTTTGTGCTGTAATTTTGGGTTTGACTTGTTGTCCAATTGGTAAGCTTGTGCTCTTAGATTTTTCCATTGATGTGTCCTCTCGAAGTGACATTAATGTCAAATATAATTTTGCTTTCTGTGTGTGATTTTGGTCTCACGCTATGATTTTGCTTTCTGAGTTTCAGTTAAGCGCTGAGATTTCATTATGGGTAAAGAGAAGAGTCACATTAACATTGTGGTCATTGGCCATGTCGACTCTGGCAAGTCAACCACCACTGGACACTTGATCTACAAGCTTGGAGGTATTGACAAGCGTGTCATCGAGAGGTTCGAGAAGGAAGCTGCTGAGATGAACAAGAGGTCATTCAAATATGCTTGGGTGCTTGACAAGCTCAAGGCTGAGCGTGAACGTGGTATTACCATTGATATTGCTCTGTGGAAGTTCGAGACCACCAAATACTACTGCACTGTCATCGATGCTCCTGGACATCGTGACTTCATCAAGAACATGATTACCGGAACCTCCCAGGCTGACTGTGCAGTCCTCATCATTGACTCTACCACTGGTGGTTTTGAGGCTGGTATCTCCAAGGATGGTCAGACCCGTGAGCATGCTCTTCTTGCCTTTACCCTTGGTGTCAAGCAAATGATCTGCTGCTGTAACAAGGTCTGCTGGTGCACATTTCAAGTCACACCAGTCATTTCATTTTCCTTTTTGTACCTTGCTTTAGAATTTTGGTTGTGAAATTCTGGTATTGGGAAGCTTTAGGTACTTGAAACTAAAGTAAATTTGTTATGCTTATCACAGATGGATGCCACCACACCAAAATACTCCAAGGCTAGGTATGATGAAATTATCAAGGAAGTGTCATCCTATTTGAAGAAAGTTGGTTACAACCCTGACAAGATTCCCTTCGTGCCAATCTCTGGATTTGAGGGTGATAACATGATTGAGAGGTCCACCAACCTGGACTGGTACAAGGGACCAACTCTCCTCGAGGCCCTCGACCAGATCCAGGAGCCAAAGAGGCCCTCAGACAAGCCCCTCCGTCTCCCCCTTCAGGACGTGTACAAGATTGGTGGTATCGGAACGGTCCCAGTGGGCCGTGTGGAAACTGGTGTCATCAAGCCTGGTACGGTTGTCACTTTTGGGCCAACTGGACTAACTACTGAAGTTAAGTCTGTTGAGATGCACCACGAAGCACTCCAAGAGGCTCTTCCTGGTGACAATGTTGGATTCAACGTTAAGAATGTTGCTGTGAAGGATCTGAAGCGTGGTTTTGTTGCCTCAAACTCGAAGGATGATCCTGCCAAGGAGGCCGCGAACTTCACCTCCCAGGTGATCATCATGAACCATCCTGGGCAGATTGGAAATGGTTACGCCCCTGTTCTTGACTGCCACACCAGTCACATTGCTGTCAAATTTGCTGAGATCCTCACCAAGATTGACAGGCGATCAGGGAAGGAGCTGGAGAAGGAACCCAAATTCCTGAAGAATGGTGATGCGGGTATGATTAAGATGATTCCCACGAAGCCCATGGTGGTGGAGACTTTCTCAGAGTATCCCCCGCTTGGTCGTTTTGCTGTTAGGGATATGCGCCAGACTGTTGCTGTGGGAGTGATCAAGAGCGTGGAGAAAAAGGATGCTTCTAGTGCTAAGGTGACAAAATCTGCGGCCAAGAAGGGTGGCAAGTGAACCGTGCAGGTTGACTCTACTGAAATCTATTTTAAAAATAATGACTTGGTGTCTTTTTGTTGTCTATCCAAAGGATGCATTTCTGTGTATCATGAGATTTTTAGTTTTGTGTCTTCACCATCATCACAAGGCTTTTCACAGAATTGGGTTCTTGATCGGCGGTGGCGTATACAAGTCTTGAGGCAGTTTCTTCCTTTTTGTTGTGTCGCTCAAATTGAGATTCATTTCTAGTTTCATTACAGCTTTTATTTTCAATCAAGTCTAGTGTTTGGATAATGAGAAACCCCCCATATGAAGTTTTGTGATCTATAGGCTTTTTATCGTTAGTTATTGAAAGTTTCGTGTGGCTCATCTGTAGTTTTTATGCTCAGTCTATTTTTATCGTTAGTTATTGAGTGGAATTTTCTTTTTTGTTAATTGCGTGCCATGTTTTCCTTTGCATCCTTAAGGATACCGAAGAACAATTTTAAGGAAGCCCATTTTTTACGGGCCTAGATTTCTTGGTGATATGGTCTGAAAAATCGATAGGGTGTTAAAGATGTTGCTGATCAGCTCTTTGGATTGGGCTGACATTCCAAATCGATGATAAAAAGGGCTAATATTGTAATAGATTAATGTTGGGCCTAAGAACATCGACCGAAGTGAACTTGCAAAATACCACACGGTCTAGTAGTCTGGTCTGTTTTCTTTTGTATTATTTGCATCCTGTCATATGTTTTCTAGTCGAGTTCAAAACCATCAAGTCATATCTAATATTTGTATTCTCTGAATGTTGGTTAACATGAATATTATAAATAATAATGGATTAAAAAATTAAGTATTATAGTTAAATGCAAGTTGAAATTTTTAAAAACCACTTAACTGAATGTAAATATTTTTTTCATTCTCTCATCATCTTTTTTATATATTATTTTTTTTTATCTTATATTTCAATATATCATGTGTTAAGTGCTAACTATATGTTTGAGATATTGTAATATCAATTGTGATTAAACACAAATATTTATGTTCTTTTAAAAGTATTATATATATATATATATATATATATATATATATATATTTGTCCATGAATAAGAAAATATTTATATGCTTAACCGCTGATATTTGTAACATCTAAAAAAAAAATTTAGTTTAACCCAATATATCAAATTCACTGGGGTCTAAATTTTTTTAAATAAATTAAATCTATAATTTATAAAATATCAAAAATTAAATTAAATATAATGATGAATACAAACCAGCCGACCCAACCCTACCTACGAACACCTCGCTGTTCTCGAGGGTAAAAAGTTTCGTCGCATTGTGTAGTGCTATAAAGGAGAACGGGGGGCGCGGGAGCACTTCCTCCTTTGGCATTCGGATGAATATAACCTTCTGGTGCAGCACTGCAGTGTGCCATGGGATGATACTGCCACTAAACATCATGAATAATACACTTGTGCTTTGACTTCCGGGAAATAGTTGCATAAACTTGGAGCAAATATGGAGTCAAGGAGAACGGGGATATTAGAAGACATAGTTTCCTGTATACTGTGACGACTATTAGATGACTATTATGAGAAACCAATGGCCTAAAAAGGTTAAAAAAATGGAGTGCAAGCTAGTTCACCACCAGCTCCAGCAACTTCCCTTCCCCTTCACCGTTGGATTGATTGACAGCCACCTCCTCCCCGGCACCACAGTCTGATCCCTCACATGCTCTTGTACTCCCCTACGCTTCCTCACCACTTTCTGCGTAGAGGTACTTCGGCTACAAAACATACTTTCGTTCATGACTGGAGAAGGACTAGAAGTTGAAAGTAGAAGCAAGAACTGGTGTGGCAAAGAAAAAAGGAGCCTAGCAGAACCCAAAAAACATAAACATTGCTGCCAGTAAACTTCCAGTTGCTCCCAGATGACAAGTTCAGAAAACTCAAGTTCCATCTTTCTGTTCTACACCAAGCAAGAGTATCACTCATACATCTTACAAAATAGTAGCAGTATAAGTGATGAGATTTACATTGCAAGAAATGAAACAGCACTTGAATCTGGCTTCTTTTTTTTTTGGGAAAATTGGAAACGGCTGCACATTAGAATGGCTTTGGTCGCAACCAGCTTCTCACGGAAGATAAATATCACTCATCAAGAATCACTCCCCACCCCACCCACCCTCACAAATACTTGTCAGGCTCATGTTCTGTTGGCAAGAATCACTTCCCACTAAAATGTTCCATGAGAAAAGGCAACCAAGATGAAAGCTTACCAGAATCCATAACAGTACTTATCTACGGTACAATAACCTAAGGTACAATAAGATCAAGAGGGCTTTTTACTCCTTTTCTTGGCAGTTTTGGCAATAGCATCGCAAATCTCCCTCTTACGTTTATTGTTGTTATTGTTATTATTGCTAGGGGTGTTGTTGTTATTGTTGTTTCGGCCACCTGCGCTGGCTGCGCTTTTTCCCTGGACTTCCAGCGCATCCTTCACAAAAAACTTTAGCCTCCATAAGGTGGTTTCGCTCTGCACAATTTGTTCCTTTACCAAGCTGTTCATTCAAGAATCTATCATATAAGCAATAATTATGATATAAGTTATGACCTGTGCATCGATGTCGAGGTCCACCTCTTCAGCAGTTGCTTGAAAGCCTGGATTATTCTGAGCAACAATCTCCAACGCTGTGGTCAGGTCTTCAGGAGATAGCCTTGTAAGAGCTGCCCCAAGCTTTCTTTTCTCTTCGGTGGACATCTTTCTGGAATGGCATTTTCAAAATTAACTTTGGTTGTCAAAGAGAATTGAGAATTGAAAATTTAAATCTTCATGCAGAGGTAACTCATAAGTTTAATAACTCATGTAACTAATATAAGGCCCAGGTCAAATATTTCCAAACAAAATAAAAGGATGCCCAAATGATGATAGGATTTTTTAAAAAAGAAAGAAAAATCTAGGACCCATGCCATTGATTCAAATGGATTTAATAATCCTGGTTAATTTAAGAATATGATTAAAAAAATTATGACAATAGAAAAACAAAAACCAATTACTATCTGAAAAAAATGAAGGTTTGCTAATAGTATAAAATAAAAACCTTTAAATATTCTTAAAAGATCTTTAACAATCTTATTTGACAAGAGAGCAAAAATTAAATGAAAATGAGATAACCTGACAAAGAAAAAAATAAAAAAAATCCAAAGCTCAATTACCAACAAAGCTGATGTTAAAGGATTAATTAAGATAAAATCCATTTTAAAAAACTATAAAAAAAACTGACTCGTGTTAATATGCCAAATCCACAGCTCGATCGTAAAACCAGGATAACCTTACATGGAAGAAATTGAATAAAACAATGGAGATCAACTCTCAAGCAAACAAAATGATGAAAGACAAAATTAAAAAAAAAAAAAACATAAAAAAAAACTCGAGTCAACCCTAGTTAAGTTGACTAATCCGCAACCTGGGATATAAGATTGAGATAACCTTAAAAAAAAAAAACAAAAAAAATCACAAATCTAAAGGCATAATAATTGAATGTTGAAGAATGAAATTAAAAAAAAAAAAAACCAAAAAAACAGAAGTTAAATCGAGCTAATTCTTGAAACTCATGACCCTAGTCATAAGACCGGAATTATCTTATAAAAGGCAAACATGAAAAAATCATAAAGCAAAATTCCTAATTGTCCAAAATTAAAAAACAAAACAAATAGCAATAAAAACAATAGGTAACAAACCTGATATAAAAACTAAGTGAAAAAAATAATAAGGGACTAATTGGAAAAAAAATCAAGAAAATAATAATAATAAAAAGTAGAAATAAAAAAAATAAGGATCAAATTGAATGCAAAAATTAAGTGAAATAAAATGCCGAGTGGCAAAATTGAAAACAAAATAAACTTCAAAAAAATTGAAAGTAAGACAAATAACAATTAAAAAAATAAAGATCAAAATTGATACAAACACAAATTGACAGGACAATTGTTTTTTGCGAGGGTTGGTGTAAAATTCAAGGCGAGGTGAGAGAAAAGTGAGAGGAAAAGAAAAAAAAAACTCAAGAGCTTAAGACTTATTTTTTATTTATATTTATATTTGTGAAAAGACTAAATTAACCCTCATTGAAATTGATTATAACAACAAAATTATGACAAAATACTAAAATGTCCTTGAATATCAGTTTTATTTTTTTGCTTTAAATGACAGTAGTCATTTAATTGTGCAATCAAATAGTAAAAGACCTAAATGCCATTGAACCCCAAGTTCTTTTTTTTTTCTTTTTTTTTAAGGGTGTTTAAGTCATTTTAATGTGTAGCAAAAATGTGAAAAGACTGTTTCATCCTCAAGCAATATGATAATAACAGATGGATCCTATAGAAAAAACTATTTAGCCTCTAATAGCTAGTTGAATGATTTTGTTTGAGAAAGGCAAAACGATCATTTCACTTTATTGTTCCAATCCACAATGACATGTGACTTGCTGCACAGTGAAATGTTGAGTCCTATTAGGTTTTTTTTTAAAATTATTCACTCACACACAAAGCTGGATGACTGACCTGCACTTTTGAACAACCATTTCTCGAAGCTCTTCCAGATGCATATCAACCTCATAAAGCTGAAAGGGTCACCGCAGATTCTTAAAAAAAAGGGTCACCACAGATTCTTAAAACATGCATTTTCCAACATAATCATAAAACAAGATGAAATACATGGTCGAACTTGATTACACCAACAGGACCAATTTCAACATGTTTACGAATATTTTTATAGATCATTCAAAAAGCTTAATTCATCAACCACATGAAGAGGAAACAAAGAGCTTTTGTCATAACTCTATATATTTTTAATAAAGTTTGTAAACCTTTTATACCTCATTGCCCAAATCACGAGCCATTTTAGCATGAGCAGCCTCCTGAGCAAGCTGCATATCCAATTGAGCCTCTGCTTCCTCCTCCTCTCTTCTTTTCTCCTGTGGGAACAGTGATTGGTGTTCAGTAAAATAATTGCCTTTTACTTTAGCAAAAGGTCATGAACTAAGATAGCTCACTAGCACATACCTCTTCGGTGACTTTAGGCAGAAACTGTAGCCATTTCTCCTCAAATTTTCCCAGCAATGTTTTGGCCATAACATGAACATCACTTCTTTCATCAATATATTTCATTGCATTCTTAAACACTAACCTCACATCAGCACATATCTCCCTTACATTCTTGTATCCTGTGCCATCCTTGGCCTCCATTTGATTTTTAATTGTACTGAAATCCATGGGCTTGTCAATAACCTATCGAATGCCATATGCACCAAATTCTTTGAAGTCAGATTCAGAAAGCACCCATCTCTAAAATGGTAAAGAAGTTAACAACAAGACAATGAATGATAAAACCAACTAAAATTCAGGCCCATGTCTCCAACTATGCAACAAGTCACACTTGTATGTGCGTGATCACACAAAGTGAACGTGAAAAGCACGATTCACTTTCCTTTAAAAACAACTCCATATGGTTCTCATGTAAACATGACATGTATATGTATGTATAAGGGGGTAGCATGTGTTGTAATGTGTTCGCAATTATACTTGATGGCTCTTATGCAGTCACAGGAAAAGGAAATCAGTAACTGTGCTCCAAGTGATTTCTGATATAGTGGATGTGGATGGAATAGGATATTGAGAAGGATGATAAGACTTCACCTCATAATAGTCATGCAAACCAAGACCTTTGACATCTACAGGTTGCATAAAAGGCCACGCCCATTTGTGCTGTGTAATCTGAACGCAAAGAAAGGCAATTACTTTAGATACTGAAAATTACCTTGCGACACTAGTTTTTTCTTTAACCTTCTAGCATCCAAGAATAGGATCCAAATATAGATTTGATTTGGCAGAACAAATCAGATAAAAACAAATCACTAATAGCATGATTTCACAAAATAAGCATGGCTAACAAAGACAAGAAATTAGGACCAACTCTCCAAGCACACACAGCAACTAATTGGTAACCATAAAGTGCGATGCAGTAGGGGTAACAGGAACCAATTTCCATAACATATGAAAAAACTCAGACAGCAATTTCTCAATCCACCTTAAAATCTTATTACAGAAAAGATAATCAACTCTTTCTCCAGATTAAAACGAAATTATGTTGTAACCACTCAGACAGAAGAAACATAAATGATATCAATAATAAAATGGGCAGCAATAACCATAGCATTGATTGATACATTACTTGACGCAATATTGTACCGAATTGGCGCATAAGCTCTTGCATTCTCTTAGCAGCAGCAGCATCTCGTTTCCAAGCATCTTGCTGCTGTTTCCTAATACTAGGAATATGCCTCTCTTTATCTTTATCTTTCACAGTGGAGCTTCCACCTTTCGAAGAACCACTCTGCTGCTTTTTACTTGTATTCTTCGAGTAAAACTGCTCGACCTCGTTCACTCTCTGCTCCAACTGCACATTCATTCAAATATATATAAATAAATCAGACTCATTCCGAAGCAACTAACACAGGCTAGAAAAAATTAAATTATATAAAATTTCATTTACTTTATCAACTTTTTGAAGAATTTCATCCACGCTATGCTTGAAAACCTCTGCTTCGGCATCGGAATTTCTTATCGGGAGATTACTGGAATCCACAATCGACGGGCTTATCGCTTCCATTGGATTGCTAAAAAAGAAGAGAAATATTCCAAAATTGTAAAATTGAATTAATAAACCCTCATACATACCTATTTAACTTGATTTTAGAAACAGAGCCACTAAATTATACATATATATATATATATATGGAATTCATTTACGATTGTTGAATGATGAACATAATTAGACTAAAGAAGCACTAATCGAGATTGTAAGATATTTTGTATGTCATGTATACGTACCTGGAGATATAAGTTTATGTATACGGGTACAGTACAGGGAGTGGTGGAAGTAACAGAGCAGGCGAGGCGCAGAGAGACTGCTATGTCTCGCTTCGCAACTCTCTGTCCAGCGAACTGCGAAACGAAAACCTGCCTTCTCTTTTTAACGGCGTTGGTTTTATTCCTGTTGTTGTGATATGTCGAGTAACGGCGCCGTCTCTTTCACGTTTTCTCAATTTTTTTATTTTTTTTTTCCGGATGATTTCCGTTTCTCCTCGTTTTCTTATGGTAAATTGTAATGTGTGTGTGAGGGCTCCAAAATAGCGGACCTCTAATATGTCTTTTTCTTTTTAATTTGACCTTTTTATTTTTCAAATTGTTTTTATCATATCCTCGAATTAGTTTTTGTACATAAAAATCAATTTTTTCTCTCAAAACATGCATTGACAATTCATTTAGAACTCGTTTAGGAATAATAAAGTAAAATAAAAAAACTGAATTTTCACCCCCTTTTGCTAGATTTGAATTCAAAATTATAAGGTAGCAACAAATTGAAATTTGAGCATTGCTTTACTTTCTGGAGGAAGTAGATTGTTTGTGGAGATTATATACACTGGAAATTAAGAATTGTTCTGCTAAATTCAACTTTGAGAAATTTTTACACCAGATTTGTTCTGTTCCATACAAACAAATTCCCCCCCATTTGTGGCAGAACACCCGGTGTAACATTCGGACTCCACATTTCAGAAGGACTGCACGCAAGTGGAATGATTTGAATAGTAGAAAACTCGTTCCATAATCGAGCAAAGTCCACTTATTATAATTACTTATGGACTGTCTGTCTATATACAAAATCTCTGAAAATCTGTCTGATGGGAGGATGATCTAGTCCGGATCACAAGAGGGGAAGACATCCTTTAAAACAAGCATTGGTTAAAAGACGAGAAAGATGCGATCTGCACTTCAACGGTTTGGAAAGTCCCGCACGGCCTTTTTGGTGGTCATCATAGGATCCATTAATGCTGACAACAAGGGTTTTTTCATCATCAATTGCCAGCATCGGAGCCGGGATCATTGGTACCGGTGCCTGGCGACTCTGCCTTCTCTTGATATCACTAAGCTCCATTTTTGGTGGAATCTTTGCTAATCCGATCAGGACCCTGTGCTTTCTTGAATTATTACTTGAGTATTGGTCCCGGAAACTTCCAGTTAATTTTGGGGTGGGAGAAGCTTTTGAGGTCTCTACGCGAAGTGAATGTGAACGTCTGCTTCTGTTCGACAAGAGAGCTGAAAAACATAGAGGGTTAGGACTGTTGGCGGGTTGCTTTGTTTTGTGGAGCATGTTTCTTCCAAAGAAGATGATATCTTGCGGAGAGTTTGTCTTTGTGTCCTGATCAGGTGGCAAGAACTCAAACAAGTCTTGGCTTGAGAAAGAATTTCTTTGTTCTTGATCATCATAGTGATAACTGTTGGGTTCAGGCTCTTTGATGAGGAATGATGGGAGATCACAGAAGGAGAGGTCTTGTTCAGACTCTAATTCCCAGTCATCGTGATAGATTTTGGTGGTCTTTTCCATTTCGCGTGCCTGTTATTTCAAAAAAAGAGAGGGACTTGAGGTCGTGGAGTAGAGAGAGATGGTTAGTGAGGGATTAATTTGCTTGCCAAGATCTATCAATATAAAGGAAGCAGAGAGGGACAAAGAGAGGGGGATGTCCTCTTCTTCTTCTTTCTAGGGGAAGGTTCCTGTCTAGACACAAAAGTTTTTCATTCCATTTGAATAATTCTCTCTCTTTTTTTCTTTTTTTTGGTTCTTGTAGTGTTTCTGGAAGAGGACTGGGTTGTAAGTTCATAAAGAAATACAAATGGAGAAAAGAAAGGACGAGGCAGTGCAGTAGCAGTCATGTGTTGGGAGATCGGTTACTTGAAAGAGAAAAGTAAAGGAGAAATCGGCTGTTTGACTCTTGCAGGAACTGGTTATGAAGGAAGCTGTCAAGCATAAAGACTCTCTAGAAAGGCTGGAGAACTAACTTGATAACGATTGAAACAGATAAATTGGGCCAAACCAGCTAAGCAATATTATTAAATTTTTAAGGGATTATAGATTATGACCTCGCCTTCTAAGGTGAATACGGATCCGGTGGATTTGAATAATGGTGGAAATGTAAGACAACTTTAGAGCCTTGGACTTTATATATATATATATATTATGCAATTAGTGTTTTTTATTTAAATCTTGGAGTGGAGAATTTAGAAAATTTCTTTAAAAGCACTAAACCGATATAAAAGATGTATCTTTAAAAATACATATAGAGATAAATTAGGGTAAGTTTGAGATGGTTGTTGATGAAGAATTTTAATTTTTTTTAAATTAAATCTTTTTATGTTTTTAAATTGTTTTAATATGATGCTAAAAATAAATTTTAAAAAATAAAAAATATATTATTTCAATGCATTTCTAAAAAAAAATACTTTAAATAATAATTCATACCATTATTTTAAATATATTTTTAGTTTTAGCGAACGTATATATTAATAAGATGATATTTTTTATTGTAAAAGAATAAAATATTAAAAATATTAATTCAAGTTTGATTTTGAGAAAAGGTTATAATCCTTATGTTAATAATTTATTAACAAAAAAAAATAAAAATAAAAGAGTTTTGTTTTGGTGTAGTATTATTTTAGTTATAGGTTGATTTGCATTGTTAATGAACAATGTAAATTACAACTAAAACGATGAGGTCTCGACTAAAATGACATCATGATTTTTTTAGTCCTTAGCATTTGAGATTTATGTGTATTGATCCCTAAACTTTATTAAAAAAACAAATTGGTCCCTAGATGTGGAAGGTTAAGAAAATATTAAGAAGGGAGGGGGAGGGAAGGAGATAGAAAGCTACGTTCCGAGCAAAGTAACATGCAGATCTTGGTTTTCATGGTGGGAGTTTTGTTTTGTAATGGCTCTTAAGGGCAGAGCAGTATAGGAGGCTAAGGTGGGTTGTAGCCCAGGTTAAAAAAAAATTATTAAAAAACTCAATACTCTCCCTGCATAACCTTTATATCATATCTGTGAAGGGAATTAAGGGTCGCTTGAACCGCTTGCTTTCTGCCTGCATTGGTGATATGGTAATGACCATTGTCAAAAGGGAGAAGCCCGATATCAGGAAGAAGGTTATACCTGCTGTCATTGTTAGGAGCGTATGCCTTAGTGCTGAAAGGTTGGTGTTTTCATGTTTTTTGAAGATAATGTTGGTGTCATTATGAACCCCAAAGGAGAAATGAAAGGCTCAGTAATTATCGGTCTAGTTGGAGAGGAGTGTGTTGATCTTTGGCTTAGGATTGCAAGTGCAGCTAATTCTAAGAACTTTAATTTCTTTTTTTCTTTTTTTGGGGAATCATATTGTTGTTAAGTTCTATATATTTTTATAGGGTTAATTTTAGTTGTGATTTGTTATTTTGACTAAATTTTATTTGGAGCTTTATATGCTGTAATGAATTTTGTACAAAAAAAATATTTTTAGGGCTCGGCTCCGAACCCAGCAAATAGCGCACTATCTCCTAAAAACATATCTGCTAAAGTAAAAAATAAAAACTTTCCTTATTTTTTTTTTTAAAAAAAACTCACTCCTTACAAAAGGATTTTGTCTTTTATCATTTATTAAAATCCTCTCTTTTACCTGTATCAATACTCAAGAAAGTACCATGGGATTTTTATTTTCTCCTTCTCAATAACATCAGGTTTTAGCTTAGCTTTTGAAGAGGAATTTAAACAGAGTCACAGGAGTGCAGAACCATCATGATTAAATAAGAATTTCCAAGCTCTAAGTTAGCTCTATAACAAGGATCAGTAACAGTTTATAGCCTAAGATAAAAAAAATTTGTGGCCCCGCCCTTGCCTCTATCATCTCTCATGATCGAACAAAAAAAAGATAGAGTCCCAAAAGGATGATTGGGTTGATGGTTCCAAGACTTTTAAAGCCCGGGTTTTTAGTCATTCACTTAACCTTAATTAAAAAAAAGAATAAAATAATATTATTTTAATAAAATTAATTAACCAAAATTTACCCAGTAATCTAATTACCGGAATTCTTTGATGAGTTCGCTTCAAATTAAGTTTATTAATTATATTTATGATGAAGTTCTAAAAATTTTAATAAATTAGGAGTATGATTTTTATGCTAAATAATTAATTAATCAATTAATTCTAGTAACTTCATTCATTTCTCTAATTAAAATATTTAATAAATATAATATTTAGTGATTGATAGGTTAATGTGCCTTGTGACCGCTATTTGTAAAAAATTGTTTTTAATAAAGATTGTGACTTATCTATACTTAAATAAATATTTTTATAAAAAAAAATAATACTCTAGAGAAAAATGTGATTTCTGTCTCTTTCTACATACATCCATACACACACAACAAAGAATGAAGATTGAAGATGTTTGTTTTAAAAGTTTTACGGTGTATTTATAGTATATAAGTTTTCTTTTTTTTAAGAAAAAGGACTCAGATATAATTTTATTTATGTGATATTTTGAATTGTATATAACATTATCATTTATTTTATTCAGCTAAAAAATAAAGATATTACAGATATGAAAAATATTAATACATTTATTGGTGTTAGCGGAGTTTACACTTGTTTAATCAAGTCTATATGTTGAGAATTAAATCCTTTAAGATTTTATATAAAAAAATTTAAAATTGATGGCGTTAGATTAATATATTATGTTTAAATTCATGAGTGTAGTAAATACAACACTTTCAAGAACACATGTTAGACATGCTTTGTTAGCCTTCTAGCACACCCAACCAAGCTGCTAAGCTTGGCATCACTCAACAAAGCGAGACCTAGCAGCATTTGAGTCTGATAAATATATTAAATTTAATAATCTTTGAATGTGACAATAACTAGATTTAATGTGTTTAGGTTAATAGTTGGATCTAACTTTGCCAGATTCAATATATCTTTTAATTGAAAAGGTGTCTGTGTTAATGTGTATTAATCCAATACATCTAAGGTTTTAAAAAAATTATACATATATATTTTTCGTGATTCAATAATTTTGTTGGGTAAAGATATATAAAAAGATATATAAAAATATACTGATAAAATAATCTTGTATATTTAATTTATATGCTTAAATGGTGCGCGGATTACATCCATATTTAATAAACAAAATCTCCATTTTTTCTTGCCCGATAGACACAATGATATCGTTCTAAACAAATATAACAAAATAGGGGTCAATGTGGTGACTTTTTCGGGGAAACATGTTCATATCTTTTACATTTCTCTTCTAGAAAATGCCCATAATTGATCAAGTTAATGCAGGCATGAAATGAGTGATTAATCATATTCAGATAAACTAAACCAGAGGACCCATTCTCACTAGCACGTCGAGTCCAATGAAGAATAGAGAAGAGTTTAACTTCAGAGTGTACGTAAATGACTCGAATATTCATATTAATCGGGAAAAAAAAAATAGAGAAGAGCAACAAAGCAATCCATGGATTGAACCAGGGATCTCTATCACCCTGTGCTGGGAGAATACACGAGACCAAATAGTATTTCAACAGCGAATCATTTTCTACATTGAAATATATTATTTAGCTTGAAAATCTTAGACCCTTTAATACAAACTCTTGGTCTTGGATACTTCACTCAGAAAGGAAGTCCTGCGGGAGTCAAGAAATCAAGGGAGCCCAAAGAAATGGCGAGGGGAGCAGCTCTTCTTCACTTGCTTGGATCTCAAACCAAACAATTCTCTGCCAGCAGAAACTTCCACTCGGGTTTCTCTCTTCATTTTCTTTCCCAATCTACTTATTGCCTCGTGGGGGCTTTCATTTCACAATCTCATTTTTACTTAAAAGAGTACAAATCAATGATTAGCTTGAAAGTTATGTTGTAATATCTAATACTTGATTGGAGAAGATACCGACTTCTTTAAATCTTGTCGGGTTTTGTTACAGAGTGACTAAAGCTGGAATCTTTCGTTCATACGAAGGTTTTTTAAAAAAAAACATAAACATTGAGAATTAGAGAAGTTTAAGAGACCCGTGATCATTTCTGTGCTTTCAGGGGTTGTGTTGAATTTAAAATATCCTGACGTTCCCAACAGGGGAGAAAGAGCTGGCCAGGTCTGGATATTGTGAAGTGGGGGTGGTTTATATACAAGTTGTACTGCAAAGGTTTCAGCCTTTTGATTAGTTTCATAGGAATTTTATATATGATGCCATTGGATGGGAACTAGTCTTCATATTTGTTGAATACCCTCAATATCTGAGCATATGTGAACTATATGAAATGCATTTGTGAATGGTTTGATGTTGCTTGATTAACAAAAATATTTGATATTTTGGAAGCTGGGAATGCATTTGGCTTGGTGCCTGTTGTTTTGCAGTTTTAATTGATTGGTGGACATATTCAGCAGTTAATAAAAGATACAGGATCAACCAGTTTACATGAATTAAATTTGTTGTACTTTGTTACAAGGCGGTCCTTCTCAACTGTTTTTGTGTGAATATTTTTTCCCTGCACACCTTGCTTTGTCTCAATTTCTGTCCTGTACTCCCTGGACCAAAACACACTCCAGTACTAATTAAATTTTCAGACCAAAAAAGATATTTTAATCTTGCTCAGGGATCACTTTCTTGAACCAGTTTGTATGTTGGCCAATCTTTGTTTGTAATACCCCTTGTTCACCTGATTGTCTACCTTTAAAACAGTTTCATCAAACACTGCGAGGAATCTTGTTGTTCACCAGATTGTCTCTCACCTTTAAAACAGTTTCATCAAACACTGCGAGGAATCTTGTTGTTCACCAGATTGTCTCTCACCTTTAAAACAGTTTCATCAAACACTGCCAAGATTCTTACTACGAGGCAAATGCAGATTGTTCCTTCTATAGTTGCTTTTTTCTTGTTTTAGCACTATCTGTTCTGTAGTAATGTCTGCTTTTGTTTGGAGTGGCTGTCAACCAATGTAAAAGCACATTCACGTAGTTTCTGGGACCATTACTTAAAGAGACACATGTTCTTATTGTTATTAATTTTCTCTATTTTAGGCTATCATCCTTGTCAGTTGGGCACATGGTCACACAGTCTGTGTGCAAGGGAGGAGCCAGGAATTGTTGTTATCCTGGGCTATAATATAAACACATATAAATTATTTTTTAAAATTAATTATTCACTTGAATATATAAATTTATTAAGTTAATAATAAAATTAAGTCAAATACATAACATAAAATATATAAAAAATAAAATTTAAAGTACATAAAATTCAAAATAAAAATAAAAATAAATAAATTATACTATAAAAGCTGCACCCTTCGATATTTTGTAGAATATAATTCATCTATAATCGAATCTGAATCAATATCTTCAACAAGTTCTCGTTCAATGTAAATCATCATAGAATCTGCTAAGAACTCCTCTTCCATTTTATTGCGAAGCACAGTTTTAACATGTTTCATAACTGAAAATGCTCGCTCTGTAGTGGCAGTGGAAACATGTAAAGTCAAAACAAAACGAATCAATCTGTCAATCAAATGAGAGTGCTGCGACTTATTTGTTTAAGCCAATCCTCGACATAATTCAGAAATGGTAGACATATTCTGAAAGCTCTCATGATGAATCACATCAATCTGATAATGCTCTAGTTGAGATCTCACATAATACATCTCTTGTTCATTGAAATCTTCATGATAAAATTTCTCAGCAAGCTTGTAAATAGCATCAACTTTAAATGATTTAAAGTTATCTTTAGGTTCTAAAGCAGAGCTAAGTACAAGGAGTTCCACTATCTCAT